ACATCACTTACATACCGTGAAGGAAAACATTTTGAGTTTCAAACTTATAATTAGAAATTATAAGTTTGAAACCTTGAGTAAACATGGTGATTGATGCTCAAACCTTATCCACGTGAAATTTTGTTAGAAGTTGCTACACTATTCTGTTGTTGCAATTTGAATGACGTAAATAACTACCTACTAAATATTTTAATCACTACATCGTATAAAACAAAGTCGCGCGCTTTCTCTGTCTAAGGACATAGACGACATCCCTACGGCTTATTTAATGGTTACCTAACACAATTATTAACAATAATTGTTTTCAGAACAAAATCGTCAATATCTAATGCATACATAGTTTAGTCTTAACTAAATGTCTCCGAGGCAGTAATTCTGGCATAAAATACTTCGAGGACATAGTAATTCGAGGCATAAAATACTTTAAACATTACAATATTACATAAAGTTTAAATAAAAAACTTTGACATTTACATGAATTATATTAAAAAGAGGTTTAATTCAAATCGTCATAAACTTTTTATTCAGCATGTAGTTTTGTCATCTTTTCAGCCCTAAAAGAAAAGGGGTGATTTGGGAGGGTTGTCGAACCTTTTTCTTTAAATTAATTAGCGGAATTGTGTTCTTTCTCGTGCTAATGAATGTCTTGTGGACTCGACGTCAGTACTGAATTAATTCCGCCTTTAATTAATTGATTTTAATGACAACTCGACGAATTTATCGTCCTTTACTTACTTACGTAAATAAGTTATAATTTTCACAAGTCCTTGTTTTTAGTTAAGGACTTAAATAGAAAGTTGTAAATAGGCATTGAATTAAAAATAAAGTGAATGTTGTGAAAAAATCTTTGTCTTAAAACATTCTTAACTGCATTTTGGGAGAAATGCAAATTCTTTCGCCGCTTTGCTGTTTACGAAACCTGCTTAAAACACAGCCATATAATAAGACTGTATCAAACGAAAATATAATCAAAAAGCAATGAAATCGTACTAGAATATAAAGCAGATAATATTTCCAATAAACACGTGTATTGTGCACATAATAAGTATTAGAAGCGTGTGTTTTATCACTGCGACAATCAAAACGTACGTTCCCAACCGCAAGTTTAATTATGCAAACATCAAGCCGTCGCCAGATTTCTCATTAGAGCCAAGATAATGACGGTACACACTGTCGCAAAATTAGATAGCAAGCACGCACCCAAACAGATATACGCGCCACATTAACATAAACCGAATTTGCATGTAAATTACATTTTACAGCATCTTAATTAAAACATTTTGGCATTATAAATGATCAAGCGGGCGGGGGTGGTGTACCCCTGACCTTAGCGCCTCCCCATCCCTAGTTAATTCGATAGTTTGAAATTTGGAACGTTTAAATTTGACGTTCGATTTTATGTTTTTTTAACGCTGTTTCGCGGCTTTCTGGCGAATTTAGATATTAAGTGACACATGTTTTTGTTTTTAATTAAAATTGAAACTGAAACAAAGCGTTTTTATGTAAAAGCGTTTCCTGTAAAACCAAAATATTCGATGGAACGTTAAAACTATTGTTTATGTTAATACATTGTAGTTATTACCAAAAAAAAAGAATTATGAAAATGAACAAAACACAATACTTACTAGTATAATTTTAACATTTTATTTCGTAAACACTTATTTTAATTTACATATTCGATTTCCTTAAGCATTTCCCTAATCAATATTTGCCAAAATATTTCTCGGCTTCAAACTTAAAAATCTATTTTCATAGATCTATGCAGCTGTGAAAATCCTATAATACAGTTCAGTTATTGTTTCATATCATTTACCCTTTGTTTCCCCTTACGTCAACCTCACCGCGATGTACCGCCATGACGTATGGTTGACCCCTGATATATCTACACCATAGAGTCAAGTGCAATGGGGTTGCCAGTATTCCGCCCGTGTTTAGAAACATCCATTTTACTTTTGCGTATTGAAAATTAGCCAACCGTGTCGTGAATGTAGTAAGAATTTATTCGTTACCTACTTTGTTCTTCCTGAGGTTAAAAATCATATGCATCGATTAGATAAGCCTGGCCAGCAATGTTTTTTCTACACTCCAAGAGTGGGGGTTATAGTTAGCCGATCTTTGTAATAAAAACCCATTTTTTTCAGGAGGTATGTCATCAAATGTCTTCTCTCCCTGAAGGTGTGGTGAGAAGGAGTATTGGACTCTTTCTGATTAAAACCTGCTCCGTTGCATCTCCTGCCAGGCCGAATCCACCTTATTGCACTTGCCCATCAACCCTAATCTTGCCCGAATGCCAATAATTTTCGTTGGTGTTCAACAGTTTCAATTACCTATTTATTTTGAAACTAGAATAACACTTTTCCAAATCCAAAATTTGGTTTCAAGACTATTACACATTACAACATTTCAAATATAGAAGGCAATCTTTTTAAAAAAATCTTTGTTTAAATCTAAGTTAATTAAAATTTTATTGCTTGACCAACCTCATTGGATTTCTTAACAGCATTTACATGAGATTAAAGGAGGGAGAATACTTTTTTTTATAATAACAACCCTCAAAGGAGGTTATTAACTGAAAGTTCTTTAAATAAGTTAGCAATTAGGGGTAACATAAAATTTACATAATGTTGCAAGTTCGTGGTGTTTATGTTTCTACATTAACGATTTTGTCTGTTGCAGTCTTTGATGCTGTGAGTATGTATAATGAGAGTAGAATTAAATTAACTTAATCTTACACGTTACTAACTTTTCCTCGCGACGCCGTTCGCGTAGAATAGTGACTTCCTGTAGATTTTGGCTATAAAAACTATCTTTTGTCCTTTCTCGAGTTCCAAACTGTGTCTGTACCAAAATTTACAGAAATCGGATCAGTTGTTTACTCGTGAAGAAAAGACAGACAGAGTTACTTTCGCATTTATAATGTTAGTTTGGATTAAGAGCTGATTTTTCAATAGTCAGATAAATGTTATCTGAGGAATAAAATTGTTGCTGTCCCTGTCTTATACAAACATTTTGACGCGACAGCATCATAATTATTCCCCAGGTAACTTTTATCTAACCATTGAAAAATCAGCTCTTAATCTATTATGGGCTAGTTTTACAATGCCTGAACAGCCGTGTTCCAAATGAATTTGAATATGGAACTTCATTTGTATGAATTGTCAGCCATAATTAAGTATAGGTAAGTAAAGCGGAGACTTGTGTGGAAAGTAAAGACAATTACTCAGCACCGATTTAGGATGACGTATAAAATTTTAAATCAATCAAAAAACATTCAAACATCATTGATTTTATTATACTTATCTATAATAATATTATAAAGAGGTAAAATTTTTAAGTTTGTATTAACGGATTTTCAAAATCCTTTCTCTAAAACATAGCTAAAATGCTATATGCCATATGTATCGATATAAATTATACGTGATTTCTTTTTCTAGCTATCGCTTTAAACTCTGCTGTTTTAAAGTCCCGGGACACATGACTTTTAATGATGAATTTAATTGACGCGTGTAAAGCCACAGGAGGAAGCTAGTAGTTAATAATACTTATTTTTCAAGTAATAATTGTATGCTACATGAAAATATGACATTAAAACACACTACTCCGTTTAACATCAAAAAAATGGCCGATTTGATTATTTAAAAAATATTAAATATAATTTTCAATCTGATTAGCAGATTAATACCCAATTATATGTCACACACTGGCCAGCTATAGAAATCAAGAAGGCATCAAAAAAATAAGACTTCCAAATTCAAAAACAAAAAGCATCCCTAATCATAACGTCGTCCTAAAAGATTCAACTTGACACAAATGTTTTGTTACACTACAAATACTAGTGAAGATCCCATTGTCTCGGAACAGGAATAAATAATGAACAGTGACGACTGTTCCTGTTACGAAAGGAACTAAAAAGTAACAGGGTATTGCCGTTGGCGATCCATCCGTGAGCTTTGTTGCGCTACACTAATTTTGCAAGTACAGAATAGAGATGCGAAAGGTGATATTTAGGACTGATGGAGGTTAAAAAAGCAGTGTTCTTTTTTTGAATTTTTTGGTATTAATGATTGATGGTGCGTTTGAATATTTGGGAAATGTAACGGTAACTGTAGATTGATATTTTAATATTGTTGATCATTTTGAAGTAATTTCGTAAGTTAGTATTCTACCGTTTTCTCTTGGTGTTTTTACTGAAAACATATTATAATATACATATATATATGATAGAGATTAGATTTATTATAACTTCTTACTTTTTGTTTAAAGTTTTATTTCGAATCCAGTATCTAATTCTTTGGCAAAAATATATTATATATAGTTTAATATATCCAATTGTATCCTTAATAAAACACAATGAAATACGAGTATTGAAAGAAATAAACTTTTAACTTAAATTTAAGTTGCTACGGACTATATTAAGCACTCAAACGTTAGATGTATTCCTCGGTGCCTAATTAAACCAATCTATCAACAATTAATACTAGGGGAAAGGAAGGCAAAACGGACCCTGTGGGCAAAAAGGTCCACCTTGATAATAATGAAACATGTAACGCCATCTATCTGATTGTTACGTCAAATTATTGGAAGCCATGTTGCCGCTTTCGGTCAGTGTACTCAGTTCCACCGGCCGCACGTGCACCGATTTAGCAAGGTAAGTTGATTTTTTTAGATTTTGATGTAAAAATTGCAGTTTTCAATTAACCTACAGTTTGATTAGATTTGTAATAAGGTGATCTTATGATAACCACATGTAAACTGATATATGATTAAACGCATAACAAAGTAAGCCAAATGTTTCTCAAATTTAAAACCTTTAAATTATTCGATTTTCTTGTAAGTACCAAAAAGGCAAAACGGACCCAGGCAGAACGGACCGGTGTACCATTTTGCCTTCACTGGGACCGTTTTGCCTTCTATAAAGTAATGTGAATGTTAATAAATCTAAATGCAATAAAAATAGAAGAAAATAATGTTTTCATTTATTTTTTTTGATTTGGTTTCAGATGGTAAATAATTATAAAAGAAAATTCAATCGAAATTCCTGGGATGAAGCCAGCATGAAAAATGCAATCGAGAAAGTCAAACGAGGTAGCACAGCAATTATTACGTCATCGTACCGCCTTGAAGTGGAAGCTTCTCAAAATAAACAGGCTGAGAAGATCAAGAAAGCACTTATTTTCCAGAAAGACATGAAACCTACAAAAAGAGATGTAAAAAGTAAGACAGGAAAAAAGAAAATCAAGAAAACTTTACGAAAAATTTCAAAAAAAGGAAAAGCTAGCAAGATGTCTGATGTAAAAAGGTCAAAAACTAAAAACAATTATAAGTAGTTCATCTGAGGACGATGACACTGAGTGTCTGTACTGTTCTCATTTGTACTCAGAATCAACCGGGGGTTGGGTGCAATGTCCAGTATGTCGTTTATGGGCACACTGCCTTTGCGCAGGAGTCGAAGATGAGGACGAGGAGACAGAATTTATGTGTGAAAAATGTGCTAACTGATTAATTTTATGTAAGTCCATTTTGCCTTCATGTGGGGTCCATTTTGCCTACCACATGAAGGTAAAACGGACATATTGAAGGTATTAGAAATCAACTAATATCCTCATTGTCTGTGATTTTATCAAAGCCTGATTCGTACCTAATGTAGAGTAAAGAATGTTGATTAATATTACTTTGAAGAAGTTTAATAAAACCGAATAGTTTCTTTTTTATAGTTGTTTTTTGTTAAGTGGTCCGCTTTGCCTTCCTTTCCCCTACTATTACCCATCCCTATAAAGTAGGTATCAACGAACAATGAATTTATTTATTTTTTACTCGAAAAGAAATGTTCATGGACACCTGTCTTTCTGCCTCTATTAATTTAAAAATAAAACTATTTAACAGACTATAAATATATCAAGTGAGAGTATCTTGATGTTGGTTAAGCATTGCGTGTGTTGACGTGATCAATTTTTATCTGTGGACCCGTTCGAGGACGTTCGAGGTGTGAATCCATCTCATTTGCGATTATGTAAAGCTGTGGCTTGATTGCTTGGAAATATGCCCTGCATTTATAATTGGTTTATAAATATCTTTCCAAGTAATTGGCTTTGTAATAAGGCCAGGAGTTGCGTTGCTTTTTTTTAAGAGTCGACTTTGTAATTTTTAGGTTTAATTGATGTTTGCCAATATATAATACAGATTTTATTTAAAAAAAAAAACCTATACTTATCAGGCAGTACATTTGCGTCAAGTTTACGCACCTATAACGAGGTGCATTGTTGAAACACAAAAAATAATAACTACACCGACAATACGTTCAACAACTCTTAGTACAAAAAGAAAAAGCAGGAAAATAATGATACAAAGCTCTTTATTTCACACAATTACAGCGATATGTGGAGGAGACGAGCCGTTGAACATACACAATTAGTCGCTTTTTCATACGTCAAGCCACAGCATACAAAACGTGCAGCGTGAAAAAGTTTACTCTGCCAGTATGCAAATGCGATAAGAAGATATTATTTTGGCGTGTACAGATTACAAAAATAGGTTGTTTAAGTGTACACGCTCAGCGACTGCAGCGCCGTGAAAAGTAATGAAAAACAGGCGCCTAGTGTCAAGTGTAAATCGCCTTGTTAATTTCACTAGCCCTGCGGCGAATTTCGCCGAGGACGCATTGTGTGTGCCGGCTTTATGTCGCGTCTTCCCGTTGTCTGTACACGGCTTTAATTGCGCGCGTCATTGGCGCGCTTTTTGAAAAAAGAATGACGTGTAATTAACGCGCGAATATGGAACGTGACAACGCGCGTTCTGAGGGAGCGATTTTTTTTTAATTTTTTTAATTAGGCACACGAAGGGTTGAGTTCGGTGTTTTGTTTTTGTTCGTTTTTTATTATTTTGTTGTTATGAGTCCAGTTAAAGCAAGCGAATTTAAATTACAATGCATAAATTAAAATGCTTTTAGTAAATGAATCTCAAGGTTTCATATTAATATTATGAATCGACATTTCGCATTAAGATTCAATACAACCTTAAGGCGTGACTTCCTTTAATTTGCATCATCCACTGAATGTAGTATAAGAAAATAAATTAAATCTTTATTTTGACTGGAAAAACAAACAAAATTATCCAAAAAATAATACCCAGAAACTACTAATCATCGTTATCCTAAAACAATTCTATCCACATAATTTACAGAGTAATTAATTTGATGTATACTTTCGCCATTTCCCGTGTCTGTGGATTGTAAATAAATAAAAAAATAAATATAATTTTTTTGAGGACAATGACTGTCCGAAAAAAAGCGATGATACATGATCCTCGTTTGGCTGGCTCGCGTATATTTTTTTTTATTAAAAAAAAATCACATTAACGGCCTTCATTGGGGCGGCGATAAATAATGCCCTCCTTATTCAAATTTTTGTTTTGTTCATCCCCCACGCGTTATAAATGAGTCTTATTTGGAAACGAATGATAGGGAGCGATAAAATTCTCGATTATGTTAGAATGTGTGAGTGCAGGACGAGTTGGTAATCGGGTCCATTTATTATAAATTTAAATCTTTTTCGCGTATTACCTGTGCCTGTATGATCGCGTGTTTAAAAATATGATTTTTTTATACGTTCATTTTGGCTTAATTATAATTTAATTAATACCTTCTATGGTTTATGTTAGTCTAGCTACCTGAAATTTGTTTAATACAGAAAAAGTTTTCGTCTGGTATAAAAGTAGAACCAATAATTTATGTCGCATTCTCATCACACTATGATACGATACGTGGAAAATTTCCACGTAAAATATTATTGAGGCTGTTCAACTGTTCGAACTGATTCTTTAAATCCAATGTAGTCTATTGAAAACTAGATAACATGTTATAAAACTCAGTCACATCTAAACTTCATTTATTTTAAAACGGAGGCCTAATCAGCCAAAAGGCATTCCATTCCGGCCAAATTCTGGAGTTCAGGTGACCTGTAAACTCAACATCTATGAAACCATGTATCGATAAACTACAAATTTCTTACTAACTGCAGTGAACATTCATTCACCAAACCCCAAGGGAACACCGGCGTTCGCGCACCTTTTGTTCTCCTATTGTTTCTTGAATTACCACGATTGAAAATCTTAGTAAACATTTAGAAATATCTTAAATCTTCAGCTAAACAAACATGATCCAAATTGCAATGGCTTATAAAGTACTCACAACCCATTATATGCAACTATCTTTAAAGACTCAGGCCCCTCGCTCCTCAATCACGACGGATGGCTAAGGTCGCTGCGATTTTCCCACTGACCTTCTATCGTTACTAACTGGTGCAACCAAGTGGGATATTCTGTCTCTTTCTGGCATGAGAATTAGGTCTTGATGTATCGGCGAACAGGGTGATGTTTTTCAGGTTGATTTGTTGGCTGTTGTGAATCCTTTGTCCTCGTGGTTATGGGTTTTCAATGATCATTTTTATCTTAGTACGAAGACAGTCAATGAGCGAGCTCTGTTCACCATATAGGTAACGCAAAACTAAACAAAAAGTTTCGTGTGTTCTGGCCAAATCGTTTCCAAGCTTAAAATTATCCAATAGCAAAACAAACAAAGTGATGTAAAAAGGTGGAAAACCAAGAAGGACCGCACTGTTGAAGCTTAGCTAAATGTTAATAATATTCAGAAAACATCACAATTCACTCAAACACACATAATAATATGAAAACTTAAAGAAATGCATTGAAATGATGAAATGATCGTACCATTGTGGATAAACGGGCCATTTCCACTAGCACAATTGAATGATGGCCAACCATTGTATCTATCTTTAGAGATCCTGCATATAATGCTTGGATAGGTGCTCCAGAGTCTATTTCATCCACTTATTGCGACGTATTACTTGCCTTATTGGGTCACTATGAGCATCTTCAACGAGTAATTGGTTTGACGTGACGTGATTTGGCGTGGAAGATTTTTGCACGCTGCGCTGCGGTTGTGGGATGTTTTTCTCAACATTATTATTAGATAAGTATCGTTTTTGTGTGGTCGTTTTAAAGGATGTGTGTTGCTGGTTCGGGATAATGCGGGTGGAGGGTTCTGTTGCTTCCTTTAAAGCTTATGCGGAGTGCATGTAATTTTCATATAGCTAGTTCTAATCCATTGGTATTGAAAATCGCGTAGATCGTCTTCTATCCTTTTTTTCTTAGCCTACAGTGAATGGGCTACAGGCTGCTGTGCAAAGTGTCGTGGATTTGAAGACTTGTAATATGGCTATAACTTTGAACTTGTAACCGTTTGAGTTAATTTACCGGAGGCCTAGCCCTTCCCCTCCCCATCCTTGAATCCCAAAACCTCTTATCTCCATAATGCCGGCAACGCCTTACTACGGCAACTTACTACTCCTCTGTTTATTTTCTTGGTATCCATGGGCGGCGCCGATTGCCTACCATCAGGTAACCTGTTTGTTTGCCAGCGTATAACATAAAAAAGAACCTTTTTAAAAAAATATTACATCATGTAATAACTGAATATTATGATATACTTATGTTTATGCGGTACTGTCCAGTCATCCGGCGACCCATCGTTATTGTCTAGCCAATTTCTACTCGGCATCTACCGTTCCCCTGCGCAAATGAGCTCATGGCGGTACGAGGAATCTAAGGATGACTAAGCGTGCTAATCGAGTTTTGGTCTTTATTTCTATGACCAATGAGGTTATATTTAATAGTATAATAACTATGTATTCTAATTCATTGTCTAATATGCATATCACATATATTTTTTAGTTTAAAGCCAATCCCAATATACAAAATTGTTCTATTTTAGCTATTTATTTAGGTAAGAGAAACTTACATAGAATATACCCCCTTACGTGTTTCTCATGTACGAAAAAAACAAGGTTTTATATGTGTGTATAAATGTTTTGACCTGTATGAACACTAGAAAGTGCGAAATTGGATACTGTTTAATGTCTATGTATTAGTTGATAAAAAGTCTTAAGTTGTTATCCTTCGATATAAAGATATAACAGGTGGTACACACCCTATATTTTATTAAGCTAATTAGAAGTTCAGAATAAGGTACACAAATACACCTAGCGACTTAATAGACCACTGCTTTAAAACCTCGAAGTCAAGTTGTAACACCAAAAGTAAAATGTATAAAAACTGAAACGTTCAAGTCACAAGGACATCCGGATACACCTTGATGCCAAAAAAAAAACTTCGAAAAGCTAACTAAAGACGCAAATAATAAGGCACAAACTTCTATTTATTATTCGCTATCCATAAGTTAATCAATAAAAATACATTCAGTAATAAAGTAACAAGTAATTTGCAAATATAAAAAAGTGTATCTCCTTCAACAGGACTCTTTAGATCAAGTTTAAACTATGTTAATTATGTTTATAACACTGTATTCATTGTTTATAAATTACGTCTACCTAACAAGTCCCTGTAGGAGTTCTCCGCAGGCATGCATACGCATGATATCAATATGATCTGACCAAATACCGAGAGTCTAGCCCGTTGTAAAGTGACTGTTCTATAAATTATATGGAGCGAATGTCTGTATTGTTGCCAACATTTTTGCGTCATAATAAGATGGCGCGTATTTTGTCTTCTTTTTTGCAATTTGAATTTGGAACTTTTTTATTTTTAAGTTTGTGATTTTAAATATTTTCGCCGTGCATTCCATTTTATAAAGAAGGGTTTTTTTTTAATCATCTACGCTGCTTGTATTAGATTTGGGACCGAATATTATTTCCGTATGACAGTTGAAATATTTGAAAACTTTCCTATTGTCCCAATATTAATCAAACGAACAATGAACGAGTTTCGTACGTCGTCGTCGAATTATAAAATATTTCAAATATATTTTCGGATGCTTTTTCTCTGTTACCTGAAGAGCCGAAACTTCAAAACTGACGTAAAACAATCAAAGGTTTCCCGGATATATAGAGCATGGATGTTTTTAGAGAAATACAAGTAGGTCGTACTAGGTTGTATAGAACTGTACTCGGGTGTTTTTGGGTAAAAATATTTACCTTTATTTGGAAAACGACTTAAAACTATCTACAGTAGGGTTGGGTGAAGGCAAGTTCCGGTAGAAAAGTAGACTATGCAAGAAAATAAACAAATAGGCAAAACAATACTTATGTTTCGTTTTTCAAAAATTGACGCCAAACGACAAGACAAATCACCTGATGACAAGGAGTTCTTGGCACAACATATGCGAAAATGCCCATACTACTTTTTACCATAGAAATAAATACAGCTTTCATAAATAGAAACTACAGCACCTCCTTTAAAAGATTGAATATCAAAAGACAATCCCCGACACATAAAAACTACGACCAATTAAAAACCAATTAGAAAGAAACGAACTTATAAAACTGCAATGATCATAAGAACAACGAAATATTTTTCAAAATTTTGTACCTCGGGTTATCGACAACTGGTAGGACGCTTAAATTACGGGGCAGGCACATTTTTATCTGCTTTTTTTGCCCGAGCCTAGGGGTGGTGCGCGTTTTTTGGACTTATTTTTTATCGAACGGTTCGAATGGACCACTTCAATGTAGGGTTAAACTGTCTGTGCAACGAAAACTACGCTTTGTTATACCCGTATGTAGCCATATGCTCCATCATGTTATATCGTTATTAAAACGGCTAATTGCTAATCTGAATGTGTGATTGGCTCAATGAATTCTGAATGATGTTTATATTAAACTTTTGTTTTTTTATGTTGGTACTATTGTTTTTGGTTCAAAGTTTCTGCGTCATCATGTGTCTACTTTGATACTCTTTTGACTGTTAGGACCTGTTCCATCGCCATTATGTAAGTTCTCGACAAACAACGTTCTATATTCAAATTTATCTGGCGCATAGTGACATACCGACATTGTCGAACAGCCCATAGACGTTTGATTTTTTATAAATTCTGTTTTTTGAATAAAACCTTTGTGTATTTACTCAAAATAAATAATAATTTCAAATCTTTAATGTTTTTTAGGCTCTAATTATGATTATTTTTGATCAAATTTGATTATATGGAATGTATAGGGTGCCGGAGGCTAACCTCATCATTCCCTCTGAGGATGGGGATCCTCAGTCCTCACATCCTCAATAACCCGCAAGAGGCCGGCAACGCCATTGTAGTAACTCCTTTGGTATTACGAGTCTCCATGGGCGGGGCTGATTGCTTACCACCAGGTCATCCGCCTGCTTCTTTCCGAGCTATGATATAAAAAATGTATTGTCGTGTCAGTTTACAGTCCACTAGATGGATATAAAATTTAGAAACCGTTACCTAAGATTTTTTTTATGTGATAGGTCAGCAAACGAGTAGACGGACCATCAGCGCCGCCCATGGACACCCACATCAACAGAGGAGTTACGAGTGCGTTGCTGATCTTTTCAGGATTGGTGGAGGGAAATGATTGGGCCTCCAGTAACCCCACTTTTTATGTGATTGGCCCGAAGGATTACCTTATACTAAGCAATCGTCGTCGCCCATGCACCCGCAACAACGGAGGAGTTACGAGTGCGTTGCTGACATCCCAGGGGTTAGAGATAGAGGGATTGGGGAGGAAAAGAATTGGGCCTCCGGCAACCTCACTCACACAGCGAAACACAACGTTGTGGTTGTTTCACGCCGGTTTTTTTGAGGTCGTGATATGACTTCAGTCGAGCTGACCTATTCGTGCCAAAGCATGGCTCTCTCACACTTAACACAAGGCACAAAGATTAATTCGAGAAGAAGTCAAAACACGCATAGAACTACATTTTGTCTGCGGTTCAAAACAGCGTGCAATCTGAGCAGCACAATCTAACCCAACGGCTTTGTACTTACTTTCATATTCTCTGCATTGACAGCTAAAGGACGAAGCAGGGCTGCCATGGAAGAATACGAATTTAAATTTTGAAACAGATCTTTTTCTTTTTTTTCCTTATTCTTGTTTGTTACAAATGAGGATTTATGCATTCATTCACATTTATGCTAGCGTAGATTATACGCTAAATAGGTCTATATATTTTTTTTAACTCTTTCTTTGAAAGGACTCCTAAATTCATTATCATCTTAAATGTACCTAACAACAATATTTTAAAATGACTTAGTAACGTTTTAAATAATTTTCAAGCTTTCAAATACAACGTTAAATAATAACCGCAACCTCTTTAAGGAAGATATTTATCACAATCTCAATCAAAACTCCTTACAGCCCTACGGCTACCAACACATGCACAGTAGTCGTATCGGCCGCCTTATTAATAAACATACGCTAACAATAAATAATTGTTTATAATGAACTTTATAATATATTAGTGCAGATAGTTCATTATCTTGCGCACGCACACTGCTACGATGGCGTTGGTCGGTCCACGCGAGACGCATCGGGTTTACATAGTGTTGGGAGCAATCTGTATCGATGATTTCGTATCGATTTATGAGTGTGAGTCATGATGCTGTTGCGTGCCTCTAAATCGTATAGTGTTTGGAATTTGTGTCGTGGTTGCACAATATGTTTAAATTGGTGGTGTTTTGATTTGATAGCATGATTTTGATGGTAGAAAATTATGTAGTGGTGTTTAATTAAAGTATTTATTAGTCATAGATATTTTTTGATATTACATAACGTCAGCTTATGAGGTAATTTCTAGGTTCAGTTTGTATTTTAACTGAGAAGTTCGTAATTAAAAAAGGCAGTTAATAATAACATTGAAATCGACACTTGGTGATCATTTTTATCAACGACTTGCAAGAAAATTGTAAACAGGTAACAAACGTAGTTTGGCATAATAGTTGGTTAGTATAATTTTACGTAACTTTATTCTAAAGTAGTACATGAAGTTCAAATTATTCTAACATTCGACTGTAGTGTATTGAATATCCAAAGGATCTCTGTAAGAGATTGCTTTTTAAACTACAATTAAAAATATGCATCCTTTATATTTTTCTAATAAGCAATAAGAAGAGTCGTATGTTATATTCAAATACAAAAATTCAACAAAAGATTTCGTACAACACCTAGCTTACGAAATCTATCGATAAGTTTACGAAAAAAAAATCGACACAGCAACGTACCTACTTTGCGCAGGAGCATCGCCGCTCGCATTTTCTTTTATCAACGCATTGATTAATGCTGGTTGATTTGAATAATAATTTTCTGATACAAACGTTATTGTATGATAAATTTAGTGCAAATTGTAATGTGAGACCAAGTCTGAGTTATGGCTAGATGTTGCTATCTGTATTCTTTGATTTAATGGTTCAGCCAGGAAGTGAGCTTTTATTATTTTATTGTTGTACTCGGCGATAATTTGTATTGAGAGGGATTATTGTTTTTCTGTAATAGGACGGGTTTTGAGTGACTTTTCAATTAGAAAATTCAGTAAGTATTTAGAGAAGGACTATTTAAATGAGTCTATTCATCTAAGGTTGATATGTAGAAATTAAATTATACTTCTTATAGTTATACCATACTAGCTACTCTGGTGCGGTTTCACCCGCTGCTCGGCTCCATTTAATCATAGCCTAATGTTTTATAGCCTACTAGCTTTTGCCCGCGACTCCGTTCGCGTGGAATAGTGACTTCCTGCAGATTTTTGGTTAAATAACCTATCCTATGTTCTTTCTCGAGTTACAAACTATGTCTGTACCAAATTTCACAGTTTCACAATCGGTTCAATAGTTTAGGCGTGAAGAAAAGACAGACAGAGTTATTTTCGCACTAATAATATTAGTTTGGATAGCACTCAGGAACATTGTAGCTATATTATATTAGTATAGAAGTATGTAGATGTAGTAAAATGTAAACAAAATTTGACTATATTTAGGTGTCGGAGGCATGCTTCAGCACGAATGGACCAGCTCAACCAGAGTCCTACGACGGCCTGCTAAAATCGTGTGTCTTTAGCCATCGCCGAGTAATAGTGTCGTATGATGATGCGAATCAAATAATACGTGCTTTCAATTTGTGGAATTCTCCCATAAAAAAACCAAGACTTAGAAAATAAGTCTTTAAATATTGTCTCTAACCCCTCGAAACAAAACTCGTCAAAATCTACTCTTTGACTGTCGCCTAAAAACAAAGGTCCGAATCCATCCAAAAAAAATATCCTTAAATTAACAAAGAAACAATCTAAACATTCCATGAAAACATACAAACACCTTTACTAATCAAAAGATCTTTCATAAACACAATTTTACGCAACCACATAACCGCAAAACATTCATTCAATCACACTCATTCAGTATAAGAGCAACAAAAATCCCATTCACGGTTCGCAAAGGTCAACAAATCGTTCATAAAACAAGTAACAGGACATAAGAGCGAGCAAAACAAACGTCGCGAAAGGTGAAGGTCGCATCACAAAGACGGACCGTGTATGGGGTTCCTACACACATACATCTTACTATGTATGTTCGTATGTATGTGCTCAGATGGACAGTACAACGCTACTCACTTACACGGACCGAATAAAAACTTGTTTGGGAGAAATTTGGAATTGTATAGAGTTGCTATTATAGCTTTTTTCTGTGAAGCTTACTTTTTGGTGCGTACTTTTTTTATCTGCGAATTATTCTGTAACTTATACTTTTTATAAATTTGATACTTTTTTTTTAAAGAAAATGTTATAAATACGGAATTATGGATGCTATGAATATGTATTGTGATTGATAGGAATGAAAAAGATGATTAATAATCATATTGTTTGATTTACATAATATTATAGTATAAAATAAATGGATCGTAAATTACAAAACGGAACAATATGCTGGGCTGCTAATGGTTTAGACCACTTAAGAATAGTATCATGTTGATAAAAGTTATTAATATAACGGTAAAATGCACTGCTAGCACAGTGGCTGGGCAACTGGCTGCTGGTTCGATTTTTGCACGGGACATTTCGTTTTATGTTCCACAAAATCTTGTTTAGGATGTTATGTGTATATGTAAAATTATTCAATTTATAATATGCAAATCATTAAGATTTTTCAGTTTTTCCACGTAGGAACAAATGAAAAATCTTAACCAAAACTTTAACAAGAATTCGTTTAACTACCTTAATTACCTTGGCAGTGGATACAAAGCTACATGACTTAGTCAAAAATAAACTATTTAAATTTTACATTGCATTACTAAATAAACACACTTTAATGACTTGACAATACAACATAATTAATACTCGTATTTTTCTAGCAAATTTTCAAAAAAAAAAACCACATATAATTCATCAAAAACCGTCGATTTACTAAACTCAAAACGACTATTTTATTTGACGAGCTGCCCATCATTTAATTCCATCTGTCACACTAAAATAATACTTTGACATAGTCAAACAGATCAATAAAATTCCACCCACTAGGGCGGGCGGCGTAAGTCCGGTGGGCCCACATATCAGGCGCCACCTCCAGTCTTTTATAGTTAACACAGCGATGATATGGTACTAGATATACTCCTTGTTATTTTACTCGTGTTTTTATTGCCATATCTTGCAAACTAACTCGTTGTATTAGCTATTTAATTATATTTCTTATGTTGGCACAATCATTTAGATAAGAGGGATCTGATGATTTGTTCCATGCGTACGATTTGTAATTTGCAGTATTTCTTACGTTGGTATGATTTGGTATTCAATGTTGGTATTACGAAGTAAAAGATTATGCTTGGGACTCTTTTGTCGATACTTCTTTGAGTTCTATACACCATAAGTTAAAATTATCTTTTTCAAAACGGATTTATACGTATGTTACCAGTTACAATGCATTTAGCATCAAATCATTTCTTGGAACTGTAACGTAACCACAAGTTTCAAATTTAATTTCTGCTTTTATGAAACCAGTAAAGCTTTCTGTAGATATTTTTCATTTTTTAAATAGCTGTCTTATCGATTATATACAAAAATAAATTCATTGTGTTTTAGCAAGAAAGTGGCCATTTTTATGTTAATATACTTAAATATTGAACGTCTGACGTGTTGGCTGGACAACCAGGTAGCAAGCAACATTTCGCCAGATCGATTTCCGCTCAGCATTTTGGATTACATAAAAGAGTTGTCTTTATGTAATCCAAAAATGTTGTTTCGAGTCTGAGTGTAGTGTGTAATGTGCATATGAAGGTTTATGTTTGTTAACTCACCCTGATCATGAGATAGGGAAAATACCCTGCGCGGTAAAGTTTAAAAAAATGTTTAGAACATATACATTTTAACAAGCAAAAACCTTAGACACGAGTTTACAGTGATGTGTTAGCACAAGTTATTACAATAAAACAAGGGGCTCATTAAATGCGTACGTAATAAAGAGAAACATTACTCCACACTGAGACAATGTAGCAACAACTGTAAATTACTTACTGTCGCCAAATAGCGCATCAGTGAATAGTTCGCGGTTTTCCACTGCCGACGAATATGATTGGGATGAGTTGAGCGTTTT